CAGTCGAATTTATGCTTTAAAAGTAGAGTAATCATAGCAGTTTTCATCCGTACTCTTGCAAAGGTTGTTTGAAACATGCTGTTATTTTTTGTTTTTCCGCTAGATGACACTAAGTGCAGAACATGCCTACCCTAGATTTAATGGCATGTATAATATTACAACATTTCAAACAAACGTGGCAACATGTAGGCCTACCAATAAAAATGTGACAATGTTGTGGCCTGACATTCATGAACAATACCTTTTTTTTCAGGAACACAAGAAATTGATATAGATGAATAGCTATCATTTCTGCATATATATATATATATATATATATATCTTGAATAAAGTGTTACACTTAAATATCATTAAGTACATTAATGATATCTGCCTTGTTCTGTTCTGTTAACCCTAGGGGAGTTATTATTGCTGCTCTCCCTGCTCATTCATGACAGGCTGCATGGATGGGCAGGGAGTTTTTTGACCAGAACAGAACCATACCGCCAAACCAAACTTTATGCTAAGTCTCTATCATTTTGACGAAAGTGGTCCTGACAGAAATAATATTTCATGCTGTAACTGTAGGGCTAATACATATATATATATCTTCATTTTAAAGTTGAGAAAATAGCAAAAGAACTGTACTGCAATTCCACCTAATGTCCACATGAGGTTGATATGACACTAATTTTACACATGGGAAATTTACGTTAAAATCACATGTGAAACCTATACTTGGAATTTTTTCATTGTATAATTGTGTTAAAATCTTTCCCATATAAAATCTATGAGATTACATTTGAAACCCATCAAAAATCTCATAATGGAATCAACGACCTAAACAAATGACATAGAACCCAATGTGAAAGCTGTAATTTGATGTGATTGACTGAGGCAGCCAGGGTGCATGATATATGATCTGACAGATAGAATTCAAAGCAGTGTCAGATACTCTGTTTTCAAGATATCATTTTATTAACACAGAGATGCCTGTCACTCATTTGTACAAGTATGGGATGCTCCACAA